CCTAACCCTAACCCTAACCCTAACCCTAACCCTAACCCTAACCCTAACCCTAACCCTAACCCTAACCCTAACCCTACCCCTACCCCTACCCCAAACCCTAACCCCCCCCCTCCCCCCCCCCCCCCCCCCCACCCCCACCACAGCCGGCCTCAAAGACCACCCCTGCTTCAAAGAAGACCAAGACACAAACATGTAAAGGTTTTGTTGATTCACTGCTTTAATTAACAGTAATATTAACGACATGAAGAGACGGCAGTTGATGGACTTCCTGTTTCCAACAGCGCCGTCTTCCTCCGCTCCACACAGAGACGTCTCCTCAAAGCTCCAGGAGTCCTTGGACTTTTCTGAGCAGCTAAACACTGCGGACTCTTCCAGATCCAAACACAGGGTGGCGCATCAGGCCAAACAGAGAACATCTCAAGGTAAAAACCAAAGCTGTGTCTTTTTAACAACAGTTGACCTATGACCTATGACCTCATCAGTCCTGAGACAGATGCCAACCTTTGACTCATTTAGTCCTGGGCCTCGAGCGAGTCTCCTGTGGTTGTAGTTGTGTTCACAGAGCCACCGCGACAAGGTAAACCCCCCGAAGTAGAATATAAGACAGAAAAGAAGAAAAAAACAAAAAAAAAAGGCAAAAAAATAAAAAAACGTCGCGACGCGGCGGAGGTTAGCGCTGAGCTGCAGGAGGGAGAGCACGGGAACGACGGAGGTGAGGGCAGTAATCTGCTCCTCTCCTCGTATCAGGAGGAGCCGGGACCAAGGAGAGAGGAGAGTGAACAGAGGAGAGACACAGGCAGGAGCGGACGTTAGTGGACGTAACTGTCATCTGTGTCAGCGTCTTGGTTTGAAGTCTGAGAAGATGATCAGAGGAGTTTAGGGGGCATCGTAGTAGAGCACCAACTTTACAGACAGGGGGCGCTGCTGTACCGACTGTTGTCGCCTCTGTCCCAGACGACAGGGGGCCACTGGTGGAGATAAAGCTGGGCAGCTCCTTCCAGCCAGTGAAGAAATCCACCGAAGGTTCCGGTGGTGGACGTTCAGCATCGGCGTCGTTCAGCAGAGCTGCATCAGCTGCTGTGCCCCCCCCAGACCACCCCAAAGACCTGGCTGTTGAGAGATACTCCAGACTGCGGCTCAGGTCAGGACACCGTCACGGTGGAGGTGCAGACTCTGACCATCACTGGGTTTAAATTCATTCTCTGTGATTTTCCTACCAGAAAACCTCGTGTTTCCTCCACGGAGATGGACCTCAAAATGGCCGGCCGTCGTCTGGTCGCTCTGTCCCAGCTGCCGGAGCGTCTGACTCGGGACAAACTGGAGGACAGTGACTGGGTGACGTTTGCAGTGTTGGTCAACAAGTCCACGCCACAGAGCAGCAGCAGTGTAGGTTCTGCTGTGACATCAGAACCACAACCTCGACCTGCGGTGGACACTCTGTGAACTGCAGCGTTCCTGATTCATTCTTTTTTTTTCACAGGGCCGAACCTTCAGCATCTGGAAACTGAACGACCTCCACAACCTGGAGGTGTTTGTGTCTCTGCTGCTGTTTGGTGAAGTTCACAAAGAGCTGTGGAAGACGGAGCTGGGGACGGTCCTCGGGGTCCTCAACCCCAACCCCATGAAGCAGAAGGAAGGCTATGAGGGTGTAAGTAGACCTTCATCAGAAGCAGAACTACCTGTAGTACATGCTGTTGTCATGGACGCGCTTCACACACACACACACACACACACACACACAGGTCAGTCTGACCGTGGACCACCCTCAGAAGGTCCTCATCATGGGTGAAGCTCAGGACTTTGGCACCTGTAAGGCCATGAAGAAGAACGGCGACCCCTGCTGTCAGATTGTCAACATGGTGAGTGTCTCTCTTCTCAGCTGACTGTCGTCCCACACGTGGTCCTGAGAAGACAGTTTTTCACGTTGTTTCCTTCCAGTACGAGTGTCAGTTCTGTCAGTACCACGTCAAGGCTCAGTACAAAAAGATGAGTTCCAAGAGGGCGGAGCTACAGTCGTCCTTCTCTGGAAAAGCCCCCAACAAGGGCGGCCTCAAGGAGCGCCTGTGTCGAGACGGCTTCTACTACGGGGGGGTGTCCTCTGCAGCCTGTGCTGCGTCCCTGTGAGTCCTCCTGCTGTTGTCTCTGTGACGGGACGTTTGACACAGACTGAGACGGTCGGACACTGAGACGGTCGGACTCTGAGACTGTCGGACTCTGAGACTGTCGGACTCTGAGACTGTCGGACTCTGAGACTGTCGGACTCTGAGACTGTCGGACTCTGAGACGGTCGGACTCTGAGACGGTCGGACACTGAGACGGTCGGACACTGAGACGGTCGGACACTGAGACGGTCGGACACTGAGACGGTCGGACTCTGAGACGGGCAGACACTGAGACGGTCGGACTCTGAGACGGGCAGACACTGAGACGGTCGGACTCTGAGACTGTCGGACTCTGAGACTGTCGGACTCTGAGACGGTCGGACTCTGAGACGGTCGGACTCTGAGACGGTCGGACTCTGAGACTGTCGGACTCTGAGACGGTCGGACACTGAGACGGTCGGACACTGAGACGGTCGGACTCTGAGACGGGCAGACACTGAGACGGTCGGACTCTGAGACTGTCGGACTCTGAGACTGTCGGACTCTGAGACGGTCGGACTCTGAGACTGTCGGACTCTGAGACGGTCGGACACTGAGACGGTCGGACACTGAGACGGTCTGCTCTGTTTTTCAGAACAGCCTCACAGTCCAAAAAACCCAGACAGAAAACTCTGGACAAACTGTTTGTAAAAGGATCGTCTCAACTCCTGGAACAGGCCAAGCCAAGAATCTGGGTGAGACACACACACACCCACACACACACACACACACACACACACGTACACACGTACACACGTCCAGTATCACAGTACTCCAGTATCACAGTACTCCAGGGTGTCAGTACTACAGTATCACAGTACTCCAGGGTGTCAGTACTCCAGTATCACAGTACTCCATGGTGTCAGTACTCCAGTGTACTACAGTCCTGTGTTCCTGTGGTCCAGTCCTCCAGTCTGGTCAGGTCTCTGGATGTTCTGATGAGTTCAGGAGCCTGATGTCAGCACCGACTCCTGGAGCTCTGCAGCTGAAGAAGCACCTGGTCAGAGGAGGCCAACCAGGTACTTCACCGTGTACTTCAACATCTACTTCACCGTGTACTTCAACATCTACTTCACCGTTACTTCACCGTGTACTAGAGGAGGCCAACCAGGTACTTCACCGTGTACTTCAACATCTACTTCACCGTGTACTTCAACATCTACTTCACCGTGTACTTCATTAGTCATGACTAAGGATGCACCAAATGTTCTGAGACGTAGCTCAGACCAAGACCTCCCCGTGACCTCCCCGTGACCTTCACCTCCCCCCAGTGGGTCTTCATGGAGAACATTCTCTCTGTTCTCGTCCCGTTGGAGCAACTAACTAAAGAGTAGCAGATGTTCTTCCTTTAATGGACCAGGTGGAGACCACGGACCACGGAGTGAACACACTAAGAAGTCCACTCCTAGAGTCTGTTGGACTCAGATCTACATCATCACTCGACTTGATCCACCTTAGAAACATCGGTCCTGGGATGAGGGAATAAAGCAGCACAGACCAGAACTGGTCCACAGCTGGTTTTTGTCAGTCACCTGGTACTGATGAGTTCCCATCAGTACCAGGTGACTGATGAGAACCTTCTGGTTTTTGTCAGTCACCTGGTACTGATGAGTTCCCATCAGTACCAGGTGACTGATGAGAACCTTCTGGTTTTTGTCAGTCACCTGGTACTGATGAGTTCCCATCAGTACCAGGTGACTGATGAGAACCTTCTGGTTTTTGTCAGTCACCTGGTACTGATGAGTTCCCATCAGTACCAGGTGACTGATGAGAACCTTCTGGTTTTTGTCAGTCACCTGGTACTGATGAGTTCCCATCAGTACCAGGTGACTGATGAGAACCTTCTGGTTTTCGGTTTCGGCCAAGAGTTCTAACTTTGGTGCATCCCTAGTCCTGACTGGTGGAACCTGGTTCTCTCTAGACTTTGTCGGTCTACAGTCCTGGANACCCCTGACCCCCCAGTCTCCAAGGGCTCCGCCGCAGCTCCGGTCCAGTCCATCACGGCCACAGAACTTCTGAAGCAGCAGAAACAGAAGCAGCAGGAACTTCTCCAGAGCCGTCGTCACAGACTGACCTCCTCCCCCGGGTCGCCGCCGCAGCACCCCCCCACCCTGGGTCGAGGCTTCTCTCAGGGCCAAGACATCGTCTTCTTTGACCGGGGGAGCTGCCCGCCTCCTGCCCCCGCCCCCCCCGGCCTGTCAGCTGCCAAGATGGCCGCTCTGAGGAGGCTACGGGACAAAGGACGGACGTTGGAGAAGGAGGATCCTAACTGTGTGAAGAGGAAGAGGAGCGACGACAGTGAGATCCAGGGCCGGGTGGAGCGGAGCCTCAGGGCGCCAGGTGTTGAACCACACTGACCTCTTTTATGTTGTCTCCTGTATTTGTCTTCATAACTGGACCATGTGTTCAGGTCAGGAGGAGGAGGAGGAGGAGGAGGAGGAGCCAGCACAGAAGAAGAAGCGTGATCACCTCCGCTACATCGAGTCCGAGGAGTTCCAGAGAATCCTCAACGCCAAATCACGGCACGGGCTGGTCCTGCAGGCGGTAAGAGGACGGCCGTGGATCTGACGTGGACGGAAGCCTTGGTTCAAATAACCCTGACCCCTGTTGTTGTTGTTGGTGTTGTTGGTGTTGGTGTTGGTGTTGGTGTTGGTGTTGTTGTTGGTGTTGGTGTTGGTGTTGTTGGTGTTGTTGGTGGTGGTGTTGGGGTTGGTGTTGGTGTTGTTGTTGGTGTTGGTGTTGGTGTTGTTGGTGTTGTTGGTGGTGGTGTTGGGGTTGGTGTTGGTGTTGTTGTTGGTGTTGGTGTTGGTGTTGTTGGTGTTGGTGTACAGGCGGAGTACCAGCTGCAGGAGCGCTACTTCGACGCTCTGGTGAAGAAGGAACAGATGGAGGAGAAGATGAAGTCTGTCAGAGAGATGAAGTGTCGCGCCGTCACCTGCAAAAATGTACGGAGCTCAACCAGGACCTGGTACCACAGCTGTCACCTGGTACCAGCTTCTGTGGCTCTGAC